CACAGAAAACCTTCAGGTACTGGGATTATAGGCACATGCCATGGCACCTGGCTGCTGTACTGTTTTAGAGTTCCTTGATGTTGTACTAGAGAGATGGATTGAGGGCCACTGCACAGACGTAATTTCTGTAGATGACTCTGAGTAGGATTGGTGTCCCCTCCACCTACAGTATCAGCACCAGCGGAGAGCTTTAGAAATGCAGGGCCTCAGGCCCTGTCTCAGACGTTCTGATTCAGAAACTCCACGTGGCCTATCTGCCTGTTTTTGAGGAGCCACCCAGGTAATACTGATGCACGTTTAAAGTCTAGACAGAGGGTCTGCAGTGACAAGAACTGGGGCCTGGATTGGCATCGCTGAGGTCTCCCTTTGGAGGATAACTTTGCAAGGGGGTTTGGGGAGTAATGATAGAGAAGTAAAATGAACACTTGGGGATCCTGAGAAGAGAGTATTTAAAGGAGAGGGTGACTTCTTGGTGAGATGATGCTCGCAGAATGTCCCGTGGATTTTGAGGAAGCAAGTAAATCCAGAGACACAAGGCAGATGAGTGGTTGCCAAGGGGCTGGGAGAGAAGGAGTGACTGTGGACGCATAGTTTCTTTTGGGTGTGGTAAGAACGTTCTGGACTGAATGGCAATGGGATTGTACTATGCTCACACTAAAAACCACTAGAAAGATAAAGACAGTCTTTAGCAATCTTATTTTATTTTTTTTTTTTTTGGTTTTTCGAGACAGGGTTTCTCTGTGTAGCTTTGCGCCTTTCCTGGAACTCACTTGGAAGCCCAGGCTGGCCTCGAACTCACAGAGATCCGCCTGGCTCTGCCTCCCGAGTGCTGGGATTAAAGGCGTGCGCCACCACCGCCCGGCTAGCAATCTTATTTTTAAGAGATCAAGAGGTAGCTGAAGGACCATATGGAATCAAGCAAGTTTTGGATGCCTGGCTCTTTTTAAAAGATGATGGAGACCTGAAAATATTTCAATTTTGTTGGCAAGGAGGGTGATATGGAAAGAAAAGAAAGAATCCAAAGCCTTGAGTAATGGACTTCAGAGCAGGAAGGGACTTTTAAGCAGAGCCCGGGTGTTTTCCAAACTCCCAAAGTCTTTTTTGTTTTATAACAGCTAAAAATAATTCTTGGCATGGGCTTTTCCAACTCCAGTCTGCAGGTCTCACTAGGCACCTGTTCTATTTGCAAACAGCTCTTACTGTGTCACTGTTCTGAAAGGTTGATGAATATCCACAGGGCAGGTTGGTTTCTTTAATGGGAAATGACATTGCTCCTGTGGGGTCAAACCTTTCAACATCTTCAGTGAACGTTCAAATCTCCTTTGAGTCAATTCTTTCAATCTCACCTCTAGAAGGACCCAGTGTGGCCACTTCTCCGGCCCTCCAAGGATTTTTCCATCAATTGCTTTGTATTCATTTTTCTTGGTTTTCTAATTCATTTCCTATTTATTTATCTGATTTCCAATTTAAAGACCACTCCCCCTAATGCCCCCTCCCCCCCCGCCCCGCCCCGTCTTGCTTCATTTTGGAGAAAGGAAGCCTTTAAAGATAGTTGATGGAACATGGTAGATGCACGGGTCAGTGTTCTACCTTCACTGGCGTTTGTGTGTGTGTGTGTGTGTGTGTGTGTGTGTGTGTGCGCGCGTGCATGTACGTGTGCGTGTGTCTGTGTGTTTACTTTGGCCATCACTTCCCTGTTTACTTTCCTGCAACGGTGTCTGAGCCAGATGCCCGCAATCAGCCTCTCCTCTCTCGAACAGTCTGGGGACAGGACTTGGGATCCTGTTCTATTAGCTAGCAGTCATGAGACTCTGTGCACTAATGCATCTAAGCCACCTGGCTGGCACAGTAGGCTCTCAAGGCTTGTCATCTGTCCCGGGCTGGGGGATAGACTTGATGTTTGCTTTCCTTGTTCTCTTTCAGTTTGCAAACCTGTTTTTTTTTTTTTTTTTTTAAACCTGCAATGATAGCATTGTGCACCAATCCTGTGCATGGCTTGGTAACTTTCCTCTCACCAAGTCACCAGAGCTTGCTTGTCAGTCATCTGTAGTAGTGGGGCCGTGAAAGTACAAGAGATGTCAAGAGGATCTCAACACTCTCTTGTGGATGTTCAGGCAGCCTGGGCCAGGCGTCTCCTCCAGTACCTCATGTTTATGTCCTCGTCCAAGTACGTCTAGGGGTAGAGATAGTCTTGGGGTATAAGGACCTCCAAGTCTCTCTTTCTTTCTCTGCGTGCGTGAGTTACTGCTTGTGTGTGAGCATGTGTGTGGAGGCCAGAGGACAACCATGGGTATCCTTCCCCAGGGACTATTCACTTTTTTGAGACAGAGACTCTCACTGGCCTGGAACATGCAAGGGAGGCAGGGCTAGATGGTCAGCAGTCCCCGAGGACTCCAGCTCTTCTGGTCTCCATTTCTGTCTCCCTAGTGCTGGGATAAAAGTACACCACCATACCACACCAGGCTTAAAAAAAAAATGGATCCTAGGAGTACAGTCCAGGTCCTCAAATTCACAAGGCAAGCACGTTCTCACCTGGGCTGTCTCCCCAGCCCTTAGTCTTATTTTATTTTATGTTTTAAAACTTGAAACACTTAGAGAAGCAGCTTTAAACCTAGATTTACCAAGAGAATTCAGAGTCAGTGAATCTGCTTGAGAACAACATTGTGTTTGTGTTTTCACTCTAATTGCTGAGATTAGATTCAATTGCAAATGTTAGAAGTTAGAGTAGAACCAGTGGGGTGACTGTCACAATAAAAATCACAGACAGACATGTCATTGTCACATTACTGCTGTATCTTAAGATATTATCTACACTTACACAAATCTGAGCATGGTGGGGGTGGCCAGGGAGCTTATCGGTACCAGGCAAGCACATTCACACTGCCACACCCCCTCACCCATTAAAAAGCACTCATCAAGGTATTACAAATTATGTTTTTATATTTTGGTTAGCTTTTTTAAAATTTAACTGAGTCCCCTTCCTGGTAATGCTGTACTTATCTTATATACCAAATAGTACTACATGGAAGAATGAGTTTGTAGACATTATCAGATCACTGGTCAAGGGGTTGCTAAGATGCTATCTTCAGATAAAACCCTCTTTTTCTAAAGAGACAGGTGTGTGCAAAGGAATCTACATTCCTCTAAAGTAGTAGGCCATCTCAGATCTCAGACCTTTTGATGGTAGCTGGAAAGGGAACTGTTTTGTTTGGACCCGTGAATTTAGATGGCGTTTGAAAACAACACGAACAGAATCAATAAAGCCCCTGTTGAAGGCTGGTTAGGCCTTCCTGTTCACACGGGCTAACACAGAAGTGTCAGGGCTTAAGAGACATTTCTGTTAAGCTGTGGTAAGTCACTGTTTTCACGTTATGCTATTGGATACTGAAGCTGCGGGGTAAAGCATTTGCTTTTTAACTCACAGCTTGGATGCCACAGGATCAAGCTCCCTTGGATAGCTGGTGATATAACACTTGGCTTTATATTAATTATGTGTGAAAGGCAGGGTTCTCCTGGCACCCTCCCAGGATGCTGCCCTTGAGCCAACCTTGTTTGGGACATCTGTGCCAGGCCCAGTTCCTGACAGCCCTTTTCTTGGGTCAGCAGTGGGGCCCAGCGGAGAGACTGAGAATCTCAGGGTCAAGTTTCGTGCTGTGGACACCTTGGAAGTTCCAGGACCAGTTCTTGCTTAGCTGACCTGAACTTGATACTTTCGTTTTAGGTTGCCTGAAACAGACCCGTTAAGCTGCTCTACAAAAACAGCCTGGAGCCCTCAATTTTCAGTACAATAGGTTTAAGTATTATTTTTAATTCGAAACATTGTTTTGGTCTGAACAGATGGCTCAGTGGCTAAGAACGTACATTGTTCTTGTAGAATACTCAAATTCAATTCCCAGCACATGCCTCAGGTAGCTCACAACTGCCTATAATGTCAGCATTAGAGGATGCCTCTGACCTTCTCAGGCACACACACACACACACACACACACACACACACACATGCACACACACATCATAATAAATATTAAATAAATAATTTTGGCTTGGTTCCTAGTCTTTTGTTTTGTTTTTTGAGTCAAGGTTTCTTTGTATAGCCTTGACTGTCCTGGAACTCGCTCTGTAGACCAGGCTTGCCTCAAACTCACAGAGATCCACCTGCCTCTGCCTCCCGAGTGCTGGGATTAAAGGTGTGCACCAGCACTGCCTGGTGGCTCCCCAGTCTTTTTGAGAGCTCTCTATAGTGCATTCAGAGCTCTTGTTGATTCTAGTAAACTGAGTGAATTGTTAGGAAGATCATTTTCTTTCTTCTTTTCAGTGGAGGGATGGCATATATGTATTTAAATAACTAGTAGGTTCTGTTGGACCGCATATATTGGCCCAGAGCTTTGTACCTTTTTAAAAAGGCTTGGATTCACTGGTTTCTGACAGGAGGTTGTTCCCCCGCCAGAATGCTTATATAGTCATGCCTGCTTCACTTGATGAAACAACCCAATTCATCGTTATTAAGAGGAGTCATGAACCAAGTGTCCTGAGACACACCCTGTGATCTCGGTTCTCAGGAAACAGAAACAGGAGGATTGCTACAAGTTTGAGGCCAGCCTGGTCTACGCAGTAATTCCTATATATATTCCTTGGAGTATATAACAAGAATGTGTCACCCTTCCACTCCCCACAAAAGTAATAGTGGCTGTAATATTGAAGTGCTTCCACTGTGCTGGACACTAGACAGAGGACCTCATGTGATTTTTGTGACATCTGATAGCCAATCCTGTGGGTGACAGTGACTGTTGTTATCTTCATTTCCTACACAGGGGTACCAAGCTTCCGGTTGGTCAAAGAACTCATTCAAGCCTATACCCGTGGCACACAGGGTAGAAATATGAATGAAGGCTCGGGCTCTTGATCTGCTGCCAAGTCCAGCCCGTACGCCCACCTGACTTAGTATTTATTATTTGAGAATCTGGATGCATGTTTCTAATGCCTTTTATTTGTGTTTGTAGGGACGCATCCTTTGGAAATTGCACTTACAACCTCACCATCCTTGACTGTTTACAAGGAATCAGAAAGGTAATGCTATCCCTCTTTCGCCAAAGCTGGGAAAGGAATAATTGTCAACACCCTTGCCTGTTGGAAGGATCTAGAGTCAGTAAGCAGAAGGCTTTTCACTTCCTGAATAATTGATTGGTAAAATACAGTCAGTCCTCAGTTTCTGTGCTTTTTTTTTAATTAAAAGATTTTTTTTATTCTTTGAAAAATTCATGCATGTATATAATGTGCTTTCGTCATTTTTATAGCCCGTTAATCTCTTTCTCCCCCTACCTCACCCCTGCTTTGGTTCTTTATTCACAAATCCAGCCAACCTCAGATTGAAAATATGTGGAAGTGGAGCACCCACTTGTGTGTTGATGGGGACAGGAAAGTGGAGGGCAGTGGGGGAGGGGTGGAAGGGAGAGACTACCCTTCCTCGTTTAAGCCATTTGTACCCTGAGACAAATTGACTCTCCGCTGCTGCTGTGACCGTGGCATGGCTCCATCACCCATTTGTCTTATTTTCAAGCTAGCTCTTAGTGGGAGGGGCATGAGGTTATCTAAGCCATGCTGTCAGAGGTTGGCTGTGCGCCAGACCGAACTGAATCATAAAGTCTGGGGGTGGGACCCTGTGGCCTGTGTTTGAACAATACCTCCGGGTGACTGATGCACTGTAAAGTTAGTTAATTAAGCATAGTTATTTAATTATTCAGGGATCTAATGGAAAAGTTAAGCAATGTTTGGCACAGGTTTAATTTGCAGCCCGAGAAGCTGTACAGGCTGTACTATGAATTCTGTAGAGGGCTCAGAGGACACAGCTACATGGTTAACAGACAGCTGGCACTTGCCAGTCAGAAATGTGGCTTTCCGTGACCTGTTCAGTTATGAATTTAGAAGCAGTATTTTAGCTCAAGTTTTTGTTTTCTGATGTAACATAAATAGACTCTCACTGTTTTGAGACAACCAGTGTAAATATGTCATCTATTCAATGTGTCTGTTTATGACTTTACTATTTCATTCTTAAGCGATTTTATTTGAAAGAATTTTGTTTACGTGTCCGAGTGTTTTGCTTGCACATAGGTTATTCGTATCACGTGCATGCAGTGCCTGTAGAGGTCAGGAGAGGGCATTGCAACCCCTGCAACTAGAGCTACAGAGGATTGTGAGCTGCAATATGCATGCTGGAAACCCATCCTGGGTTCTATGCAAGAGCAACAAATACTTTTCTTAACTGCTAAGCCATCTCTCCAGCCCCTTAAATAATTTTAAACTCTCAAAAACTTTAAAGTCATTAAAATAAAACAACACCAACAACAACCACCACCACCATGGAAGCATTCAACCCCACTCTTACCAATAGCATAGCCCAAATGTTCATCCATGAACAGTAGTCTAGAGCTTTATGAACAGGTTACCCAACATACAAGCCATTATTAAATCATTTAGGAAACACGCCTGAGGGAAGAGCACATTTATGGTCCTGGCTATTATTATTTTGCCTCTCCCTCCATCTGATAGAGGCTGTTCCTTTTGTAGTGCTTATGGAATTCACACAGTTCCCTCTGGACCATCTCTGCTCCCTATTATGGGATCTGGCGTCTCAATATAGAAATTTATGACATCCTTCCTGCCCTACAGGAAAGGTGTGGCTTTATTCATTAATAAAGGCTTTTCTAAACATAGTCTTTTCTCATGTTGGGGTGTTCCCAAGTACAGATGGTGTTCTAAAAGGCTCTGATAGAGACGTATGTGCCCATGTAGAACCCCTTGCTTAAGGTGGCACATGCAGGGCTATTTTTATGGCACTGAGTGCATCTCCTTGGGGGATGTATACGGAGCATGGTCATGTTTTTGCCTTTTAAGGGTGTTTTTCAGACTTTGATATATTGCTGTTACTATAACACCTTGTCCATGTGTTGTGTAAGCATTCAGGGAAAACACACAGTTTAAAGATAAAGGCAAAACAGTATATTGTTGAGTGTCCTCAGGAATTAATAGCATGTATGGATGAACTAGTTATTCATTTTAACTAAATTAATTAATTAATTAATTAATTAATATTATTTTTGAGATAGAGTCTGCCTCTCTATGTAGTCTTGGCTGGCCTGGAACTTGCTATATATACCAGGCTGGTCTTGAATTCACAGAGGATTAAATGCATTTCCACCATGCCCCACCTAATTTTTTTCTTTTGCCTAATTAGCTTTTTGAAAGTTGAAGTAATAATAATTTATAGACTGTGTCCCATTTATTTTGTAGGAATTATTCAGCTGGTTATTGTTGCCAGAATTTAGTATATATAAGAAACATCAGGAGCTGGGTGGTGGCGGCACACGCCTTTAATCCCAGCACTCAGGAGGCAGAGCCAGGCGGATCATTGTGAGTTCGAGGACAGCCTGGTTTACAGAGTGAGTTCCAGGACAGGTTCCAAAGCTACACAGAGAAACCCTGTCTTGAAAAACAAACAAACAAACAAACAAACAAACAAACAAACAAAGAACCATCAGGAAAGCATGTCAGAAACTGCCTTTTAAGGGAGGGTATCTTTCAGACTGATGTATTGCCACTATCAAAACAACTTGTTGTATGAATAAGCAGGGGACAACCACATAGTTTCAAGATAAAGGGAGAAGTGGATAGCTGAACTTTCTTTGGAATTAATAGGGTGTGTGTCCTGAGCCTGGGAATGCAGCTCAGCTGGTAGCATGCCTGTCTATGGTTATGGTGCTGCATACCTGTGGTCCCAGCATTCAGGAGTAGGAGGCAGGATGATCAGTATTTTAACATCATCCTCAGCCAGTTCAGGGCCAGCCTAGGCTATGTGAGACTGTCTAAATAAATAAATAACTTGAAGAAGCTGAGCTTGTGCCCTGGTCCCAGAGAAGGGACCCAGGAGCCTATTTTATAAGCAGTCTTGGTGTTTCTGGTTTAGAAGGTCCGAGTTCCACATTTTGCAATGCATACTCGTCTCCACGTACTGCAGCTTGACTTACTGGCTTCTTTGTCTATTTTTAATGACTGGTTCATGTAACTTTTAAATGTACCTGTGGTTTTATATTCGGCTGTTATCTCTATAGCTTCCTGGTTTATATAAAAAAAAGACTTCTATGTTTCTGAAAATTTTAGTTATGAACAAGCTGGCTAATTTAAAAGAGTTTTGTCACTGCTTAAAAAAAGTATGAAATATTTCTTTTGTTAAAAAGGTCCATTCTTCCTTCTAAATTATAACAGCAGATGGTATATACTTACATTAGCCCAAACTATCACTAGAAAACAAATACCTCCAAAGTAGAGCTTTAGGAATTTAGGGCTTTAAGTAAAAGTGCCTTTTTCCATAAATATTACTTTCTGATAGAAGGAAGGTCAGTTTTTCTAAGAAGACCTGATTTTGCTCCTGGATGAGAAGTTGATTACTGTCGTATATTCTGTCCTAAGTCTATAGATTTGGCTATAGCTTTTCTAGTATGTTCCATTTTATATATGTTATTAGTTTTGCATATAGGACTGACACAAATTGGCAAAGAAGCACCTTTTGGAGGCACATTTTCATATTTCTAGAGTGTTTAGTTTCGGTGTTCTAAGGGACTCTGAGATATGGTAAAAAGCTAAAGTCTGAGGCTCTTGCATTGAGGTTGGTGGGACCACTTTGTGCTTAGACATCCCAGAGATGATGAGTAGATTTTCACTAGTGTTATGTGCAGAAAACTAATTCACTTCTACTTTTAGGGATTACAGCATGGATTTTTTGACTTTGAGACATTTGATGTGGATGAATATGAACATTATGAGGTTTGTACACTTAATTTTTTGTGGAATATAATTTCATGTTGGTTAAATATTTTTAAAAAATCTAACACTATTACATTTTAAATAAAAACCATTTATCATTTTTTTTTTTTTGGTTTTTCGAGACAGGGTTTCTCTGTGTAGCTTTGCGCCTTTCCTGGAACTCACTCGGTAGTCCAGGCTGGCCTCGAACTCACAGAGATCCGCCTGGCTCTGCCTCCCGAGTGCTGGGATTAAAGGCGTGCGCCACCACCGCCCGGCCCATTTATCATTTTTTAAAAAAATAGTGGTCAGCTTTGGTTATTATGGGGTAATCAAATTTTAATTTAGAGAAGCACTCATCTATCTATCTATCTATCTATCTATCTATCTATCTATCTATCATCTATCTACCTACCTGCCTATCTACCTATCAATAGTCTACCTACCTACCTACCTATATATTCATTCTCTTGTCAAACTTTATTGACAATCTCTTTGTTCCTTTAGATAGGTAATTTTGAAATGTAGTTTGGTAGTGAAATTCTAAATTACCTTTACATTAAAAGTAAGGTCTCATTTAAGGCAAAATTAGGTTTTTGTAATACTTCCGGTGTTATGCATTTGATTTTGAAATACCATTGCATGCACTCAGTTCTAACACTTGGCTGCTCCTTCTCCCAGGGCACCCACCATCGTGAACTCTGTTCTTTCCCCCAGGGCTCCATCGTGAACTCTGCCTGCTCAGTGATGCGTAGTGTTTAGGGATGCTTGTCTATTCTGGGGGTGCCATACAGCGGTGCTGAGGAACACTTTGGAGTAGGATGAGGGGAGGTCCAGAATCAGTTAACACTTTCTGTGAGCTGAGGAGCCTGTGGGATGTGAGGAAGACCAACATGACTTGAGCGTAGCTCATCAGTTGGTTTTTTCCAGAACCATCTATTACATTTCTCTCCCTAGCATGTGAAGTAGACTTCCTAGTTTGGGCTGGTGTCCAGAGCATGTCTATTTGAATATCTTGCTTGTGTGTAAAATGTGCCCTGTGTTTGAAGATAAACTGTTCATCTTTCATTCAAACTTGGTCTTTTGATCCATTCATCTGTGCTAATGGAAGGGCATCCTGCTGTTCACTCAGGCTCAAGACTAGAATCCCCTCCCCCCCTTCACCCCTTCGCAGTCTCAGTGAGGGTTGCATTCCCATGGCTGGTCCCTGAGGATGCATTCCACCCCATTTCGCTCTCTCTGTCATTCCTTTGCCCTGGGTCCGAACTCTTTTCCCTGGACTGCTGAAGTTGCCCTCTCTCTGAGTGCTGGTCCCGTCTCAGGTTCCTTCCACAAGCCTAGCGGGATGATCTTAAAACAGCGCTCGTCTTGTCTTGTTCCTGGCCCCGAAGTGCGATGAGTGCCCCACTCTCTCAGCTCTGCCAAGCTCTGGCTGCCTCTGGAACCTCGCTGCCATTCCTTGGTGGACGCAGCCCTGCTCCAGCCCCTTGGAGTTGCCTGTCGGCCGGTTCTTGAATGTCTCCGCCCTGCCTGAGCAGTTCTCCACCTTTCTTACCTCCTCCTCTTGATTGCATGTGTGCGCAGAGTCTGTGGAGACCAGAGCTCTCTTCTGGACAACTTGTGCCTGTTTTTCTGACATCAAGGCCGTTTACATACCACCTTAACTTCCTTCCTGGGCTGCGAATTCCCTGTAGATGGGACAGGGCTTAATGGAAAAACGTATTCTGTGTTCTTGTATAGAAATCCTTAAGTTCAGAAACATCTATGTCTATCAAAGTTTAGTACAATTTGTTAAAATTTGAGACTGTTGTTCAAATGTGTGTGTGTGTGTGTTTGTGTGTGTGTGTGTGTGTGTGTGTGTGTGTGTGTGTGTGGCATTTTTGGTACTGGCAGAAGAATCTTTTCATTTTAGAAAGAAAGAAAGACAGGAAGGAAGGAAAGAAACTCCAGAAAACTAGAAATAAAGGGCAGTGCATTTATAATGGACAAGACTGGTTGAAGCATATATATCACTTATGTAGTCATTTTAAAAAATGAATTGGCCTATACTTCTTCTCTGGGAGTTCTTTCTATAATTTATTTTTTAAAAGGACACATAAGAGTGCTTATAATTTGCTACTTCTTTGTAAAAATAAAACAAGACCTAAGAAGGCTCCTCCATATCTCGTGTGTGTGTGTGTGTGTGTGTGTGTGTGTGTGTGTGTGTGTGTGTGTGTGTGTATGCATATAGCTATGGTGTGAGTTGTTGAGGTATTTTACTTTGAAGCTAATCAAGCATGTATTTCATAACCCTCTCACTTGCATACGTGTCTTTTAAGGTCGTAGACCTAATTGTGTGTGAGTAATTTTGTCCTCTTATAATGAACCTCCAAATAAAGTAAGTTACAGGTGCTCATCCCCAGAGACCCCCAAGGCCTGGATCTCTGCCCTGCGTGTATGAGCATGGAGGATATACCATTAAATGCTAACGACATTTCACTGAAAAGAGTGGTTCAGGTGTGGGGGTAGAGAAAGAGGAGGAAGCACAAACACTACCACCCAGAGAAAAACAGAACAGCACAAAACCCTAGTTGATGCTCCCTCTGCCCGCCACCTGCTGATGCTGAGACAGCTGTTGATAACCTTGCTCAGAGACACAGTGCTGCGTGAGTCTCACAAACCAGCCACCCCAGCAATGAGCCTGCTAACAATGTGGTCCTCCTGCTGTCACCGGAGTGAGTAGAACCCAGGCAGTAGGAGCTGAGTGGTAGATTTTGGCCACTGTCTAGGAGATTTCTTTCTTTCTTTCTTTCTTTCTTTCTTTCTTTCTTTCTTTCTTTCTTTCTTTCTTTCTTTCTTTCTTTCTTTCTTTCTTTCTTTCCTTCCTTCCTTCCTTCCTTCTTTCTTTTTTCTTTTCTTTTTTTTTTTTTGTCAAATGTCTCTTTTGTCCTTGGAACGTCTATCCCATCACGTATCTTATCAAACGGCAGGTCACAAATTAAAGTGTGGTTGGCAGGCAGTTCATAAATGTTTGCTTAATGAATAATTGAATAAAAGGCCACTTTTGTGGTGGTCTGTGGCCCGGGCACTCCTTGTCATAATGCCTCTTGCTATTTTGCGCTGCTCCAGGGAGCCTGGTCATTTGGTGAACTGTGAAATAGCCAGGTTTGTGTCCTTCATTTCATCCAGCAAAGCCAGTATTCCAGGGAAGGACTTGTAGATTTCAAAGTAAAATTGTATTGTTGATAGCAATTGTGAGACTCGCTGGGAGTGATTTGGGGATATTCAGGATGAGTCTTTTCATAGGCACTTTTTTCTTTTTATTGAAAATAGATTTTTTTTTTTAAATGCAGGTGGTGGCACACAGGGCTACACAGAGAAACCCTGTCTTGAAAAACAAAAAACAAAACAAAACAAAAAAAAAAGGGAAAAAAGGAAAATGGATTCCTCCCTTCCCCTCACATAACATACCGTGATTACGATTTCCCCTTCTCTATCCCTCCCCGTCCCTCCCCTTCTCCTCTCCCGTCTGGATCCCCTTTCTGTCTTTCTGTCTCTCATTAGAAAACAATCAGGGCAGGTGAGGCGGCTCAGCAGGTGAAGGCACTTGCCACAAGCCTGAGGACCTGGGTTCGATCACCAAGCCCCACATGGTGTAGAGAATCCTCGTCGTCCTCTGACATCCATACCTGTGCCTCAGCATGCACATGCTCGTGCGCGCGCACACACACACACACACACACACACACACACACACACACACACACACAAGCAAACAGGCTTCCAAGGGATAATAATAAAATAATATAAAGTAAAAATAAGGTAAAAGGAAAACAAACATCAGAACAGGACAAAACAAACAAACGGAAGGAAAAGAGCCCAAGACAAGGCACAAGAGACAGGTACAGATGCAGAGACCCACCGGGATGCAGACTCGGGAATCCCTGAGAACACTCAACTGGAGGCCATATATATGCTTGAAGGACCTGTAGCATAAAAGAAAAAAGTACGTATAAATAAAATGGAGTAAAATCAAAATAGAAAATAAGATAAAATTAAAAGAAAGAGACAGAGGGAGGGAGAGAGAGAGAGAGAGAGAGAGACAGACAGACAGACATACACACATAGAGAGAGAGAGACAGACAGACAGACACACACACATAGAGAGAGAGAGAGACAGACACACACACACATACAGAGAGAGAGAGAGACAGAGAGACAGAGACAGAGACAGAGAGAAGAGAGAGAGAGAGAGGAGAGAGAGAGACACAGAGAGAGAGACAGACACACACATACATACAGAGAGAGAGAGAGACAGACACACAGAGAGAGACAGACACACACATACAGAGAGAGAGACAGACACACAGAGAGAGAGAGAGAGAGAGAGACAGACACAGAGAGAGAGAGACAGACACACACATACAGAGAGAGAGAGAGAGACAGACACAGAGAGAGAGAGAGAGAGAGAGAGACAGACAGACAGACACAGAGAGAGAGAGAGAGAGAGAGAGAGAGAGAGAGAGAGAGAGAGGAGAGAGGAGAGAGAGAGGAGAGAGAGAGAGAGAGAGAGAGAGAGAGAGAGAGAGAGAGAGAGAGATTGAACTTCCAAAGGTGCTGTTAAGTTCATTTTCTGTTGACCATCTACTGCTGGGCATGTAGCCTACTGTCTTAGTTAGGGTTTTTTTGATTTTTTTCCTTTGGGGTTTTTCAAGATAAGGTTTCTCAGGGTAGTTTTGGTGCCTGTTCTGGATCTCGCTCTGTAGACCAGGCTGGCCTCGAACTCACAGAGATCTACCTGCCTCTGTCTCCCGAGTGCTGGGATTAAAGGCCTTGAGCCACCACTGCCCAGCTTTTAGTTAGGATTTCTATTGCTATGAAGAGACACCATGACTATGGTAACTCTTATAAAGTAAACATTTATTTGGGGCTTAGTCCATTATTATCATGGTGGATGACAAGTAGGCAGACATGGTGCTGGAGAAGGAGCTGAGAGTTCTTGATCTGCAGGCAAGAGGAAGTGAACTGTGACACTGGGTGTA